TACACATATACATATACATATACATATACATATACATATATAGGTATGTGCAAAATATGTATCATTCCTAAACCTGTATTATCCTGGGTTGGGGTTAGGTCGTGGTTTTGTATATTTCTACTTCTGGAACGCTTGAGTGCTTGCTGTGACTAAAGCTGGTACTGCTGCATCCTATCGATCAAGCCAGGACCCTAAACCCTAAGGGCTAAACCTAAGCCCTAAGCCAAGATGTGGTAGGGTTCGGGGGTCAGGGCCGATGGTTACATAAACCCGAACCCTACATACCGGGATGGTGGTCCCCCTAAACCCTGAACCCCCAAACCCTAAACCCCTAAACCCTAAACCCTGTTACAGGTAGTTGGGAGGGAAAGCCCAAAACCCCAGGTTTGCAGCTGTGGCATCGGCTCACTGGCGGACCGCTTTGGCCTTCTGGCAGCAAGTGCAGACGGAAGCTGAGCAGTTTCTGTATGAGCGGTTGGAGAACTCTAAGAAATTTCCAGAACTCTTGGAGGTCTGAGCTTGGAGGTACTGAGTTTCTGCATTTGGGGAGATGTTGAGAGAGGCCTGGTAAATGAAGAGAGAACAGTTCGCAGTCCTGGCGGCTGCGTACAAGGAAGACTCTTCGAGGCACGGGTGGATGTGATTAGTAGCAGTACCAAATGCAAGCTATCGCTAGTTCTACCTACTACATACTTGTAGGCTGTTTGGTACACTATGAGTCACCCGAAGATGCTACAACTGCAGACTCTCGCCTCGAAGTTGTCGCTCTTGCCTGAGGTGTTGAATCCATGGTGCACTCTTCCAGCACAGTCTTTCTTGATGTGTGGCTTATGACTGCCATGATAGCGAAAGAAACGATCTTTCCCAAGACCTGCTGCCCATCATGGATGTCCTTAAGCTGTTGGCTCTGAAGTGCGAAACCTGACAACCTCGAAATTCTGAAGCCATTGATCTCCAGTCCCAGTCGCCAGGTCGCAAAAGATGCTGCTTGGCATACTGCGTTTTCCATGCCTTCGCGGCTATGTCGCCGCTAGACCGGGATGCTACCAAACGCGGGGTTGGGCCGAGATTTGCTGACCAGCAATTTTTAAAGCTTAGGGCTTCGGGTTCGGAGTGTGTGCTTTCGGTATCGAAGGGCTCAGCTGGTTGGCCATGTTATGCAACGATGCGGAAGCTTTCCTTCATTGCAAGTGGATGCCCCGTTTGTTTACAAGGACTCTTCCTGATGCAAATCCGGTGGTGCAAGTCAAGAACGAAACACTGTTTTCACGTCAGATTCGAGATGTCTTTCTGAAAATCACAGCCCCTGCCTGCGCACACATCTCAAACTTAGGATGCACTGGAATGTGCACGCGATTCTTCTGCTGGGGCGAGTTCTGGCTGGAGCTGGGACATCGATTCTCTTCTCGTGCTTCGACGCTTGCCAGACCGGACCGGATCCCCGATAGAAGCCCGATCTACCACTGAACCTGAATCGAAGAACGTAGGCATGTTCCCGTCTAGTCCAGAATATGATTATACTATGATGTCCTGCCGGAGGAAGGCACCGAACTGATAGCACCCCTTGTATTTTGGCATCTCAGGAGTGCTGGATGGTCTCCGAGCACACTGCAAGGCATAAGTTTTCCGCGAACTTGCTGGCATACACCTTCAGCCGACTGCTCAGAGATGGCATCGCAAGAGACCGATTTAGAGGGGATTTTAGGCTTGGAATTCGGGCAAGCTGCGTTCAAGGTTCTGCGGTCAGAGATGCAGCACCATGACCCGAAACACTCAAATCCTCAACACCTGAACCCCCAAAGAGGCGGCCTCAATAGCTACGAATGTTAGCACCTGAGGGTTTGGGGATTTAGGATCGTCCTTGTCTATTTATTGTACTCTAACATACCCCCAACAGTTTGTCCGAATCAGCCCAAACCCTAAACCCCTAAACCCTAAGCCCTAAGCCCTACACCCTAAATCCTAAACCCTAAGCCCCAAGCCCTAAACCCTAACCCCAAAGCCCTAAACCCTAAACCCAGTGCTTGCAAGAAGTTAGACGCTGGCCTTGGCTGGCGACTTCTCCAGCAAGGGGAGCCCCCTGGTTCCGGGTGTAGATTTAGGGCTTAGGGATTAGGATGGATAATAGGTTCTAAGGTTTAGAGTTTAGGATTTATAATACAAGTTTATGAAGTTTATCTTCAGATTTCTGGTTAAGGATTCATAGGGTCTAGAGTCAAGGGTCTATAGGATTTAGCGTTTACGGTTCAGGATTTATAGTTGTCGCCAGTTGCGAAAGGGTTTACATGATTCCGGGTTTAGGATGGTTGTAGGGCCTAGGGAACAAGAGTACGAGCATTCTCGGAGCATTACGACTTAGGGTTCCGGGGCTCAATGATGGAGTTTCTGTTGGCAGATGAGGTCTCAAGTTCTGCGCAATGTACATGGTGGCTGTGTTGGCGGGCCTCGGAGCACAGGCTGTTGTTGATAGCAGCAAGCTGACGGTGCTGGAAGGTCGTTTCTGGGCATCAGCTTCATCAACAGTTACAGAAGGGACCGTTGTTGCAATGGCATAGTTAAAAGTAACGGTTTTTTGGGGATTTTCTGTCACTCCTTGGAGCAGTGTTTGCAGCTTCGTGCTTCGCTTTTCACCGGAACCCAGGTGTCGACATTTATTACGGAGGCTATACAGCACCCTACGACCTCTCGGCAGCCATGCTTCTTGTAGGGTTCTGCGTCATCGCAACCTGCTGGTCGGAGAACTATGGGCAGAGGTCAGAGACTGGCAGCCCGGGACCCAGAGAGTGAAAGCATGAACTTTGGACTCTCTGCATATGCCCAATATGTTTTTATTTTATAATCTCCCTCTCTCTCTCTCTCTCTTTGTCTCTCTCTCTCTCTCTCTCTCGCTTTCTGCTCTTTCTCTATACAAACGTGTATATATATATTTATTTATTTATTTTTATTTATTTATGCAGATTTACGTACATGTACACATGTATGTGTATACATGTTTTATGCATACACACATACATTTTCACGTATGCATATACATATATATATAGGCATGTACACGTATACAGATGCGTATACATGTGTGCGTGCATGCATGTACCTACATACATGTATATATATATATAAGATATCTGTATGTACGTACATGCATGTTGCAGCGTGGGAGTATACACGTTTACACGAGATTCGTCACGGCTAGGGTTTAGGATAGCAGGTTACGAGACATCTTGATCGACGCATAGTGTGTGGCAGGGTGCAGTTAGAGATTCATGTGCGTGCTCAGGTAAGCTCCTTATGTGGGATGCAGTGAACCTGCTCATCCAGGACGCGCTTTGCAAACTAAGTCTTGGACACGACGAGCTGGACTGGGTAGACGGGGCATCTTGAAACCCCAAACCCACAACCTTGATATACTGCCAGGTCTTTGCGGAGCCTCAGATTCCGTGAACCCGACTTCGGAGGCAATGGTCTACCTTCGATTAGGTAGATTACCAGCATCTCCCCCTATACGCATATCCATATAGATGGTGCAATTACATATGTACAGGCAAACATAAACATGTACATCTACACATATGTCTTATATGTATGTATGTATATATATATATATGTATATGTGTATATATATATATGTACATGTACATGTACATGTGTGTACATACGCGTACATCTGTGACATGCGTGTGCGTCTGTATGAATGATACGCTCCATCCCCTGGGAAGTTTGGACAGCTTTCATGAACCCTCAGGTCGCTCCTTCCTAGCCCTCCGCACCCAGAGCACTATACATCCCCACCACTACGGTATAGGGTTTAGGGTTACGGTTTAGGGTTTTGGGTTCTGTTTAGGGTTTAGGGTCTTTAGGGTTTAGGGTTTAGGGTTTTTAGATCACAAGACGGATGCAGAGCTTTCCACTTTCCAGGGGTTAGATCCGGAAGCTTGCCTTTCAAGCCAGCAACACGCCTGCTTCATCAATCCTCAACCCCCTTCCGCAACCCGTACTCACATGACAAGCGTCAGACCCCGTCAAGAAACCCAGCAGCAACTCGATGCAAGACCCCATTAACACAGACAACACAGAAACTAGATCTTAAATTAAATCCTCCACCTTCATGAATATACGGTCGACGATAAAACAACAAAAAGAAACAGCTTCCAGGATCGGGATTGCCTTCGTCTCTGCCTGCTCGTCGCAATCTTCGAGGGCTCCATGTACGTTTTCGTCTCCAACTGGACGCCTGCCCTCGAGTCGGAGGACAGCTGCATCTTCAGTGAGAATATAGGGGGCATTAGGGTTTTAGGGTTTCTTTTCATTTGGTGCTCATAGGGTTTAGGATTTAGGGTTTAGGAGTTTGAGGAGTTGAGGACTGGGGGGGGGGCCCTTTCCAAGTAATTGCTATCTGTGTCATTATTGCTTCATTGCTTGCTTTTCTTATCGATTGTTCTTGTTCTTTATAAGTCCCATGGTTATAGTACACGTACTGCTATACCAACCCCTAAACCCCTAAACCCCAAACCCTAAACCCCTAACCCCCCCCCCCTAAACCTTACCAACCCTTAGCCCCCAAACGAAAAGTCCAGGACACCTCACCGCCTCACGGTTTGGTCTTTTCGCTCTTCATGCTTGCAGCAACCTGCGGGTCCTCGGCCGCGCGGACGGTGAAGGGCTTGAAGGAAAAACACTTGTTTCCCTTTAAACAAAAAGCTGCTTATATATATATATATATACATATATATAGATATATATATATATAGATAGATAGATAGATATAGAGAGAGAGAGAGGGACAAGTCTTCATAAAAAGCGATTCTCTGGGGTGCTCAAGAAGCCATCAGGTTTAGGTCCAGGTTTAGGGTCTCGAGGGGCTTAGGTTTGAGATATCATTGAAAGGGTCTTTCTGCGGTGGCTCCGTGCATCGAGGTTTCGGTTGGAGTTTGGGGTGCTGCCCTGGTGGTTTTGGGAATCCAGGGGCAAGGCACACAAAGCGCCGAACGAGACGTGACAGTGGGGTAATATGAGGATTTCAGCACTACTCTATATGATCAGGTAAGATGTTTTTTGTTGAAGTTAGTGATACCTTTGTTCAGGGATCACTGCTGCAAGGATCCTACTAGTTTGGGTCTGTTTCTTTTGGATCCTGTGATTTTGGGTCGTTATGAGGGTCTCAGATATCCTGAAACTCTCAATCGATTCGTACCTCGACCCTTGCGGCTGAGACTTGAAACGTCTACGAGTATGAACGACCCCTCACTGGGACTGTCCGAGCTGGAAGACTAGACACACTAATAGGCTCCTGAAGATTAGGACACCTCAACATCAAGATCCTTAACACAGGAACCTCTAGTTGGGGCACCTGCTGCCTGATGTGTTCCCAGCTGAAAATCGATGAAAACGCTGAGTTTCTGTGGTCCAAAGGGTGTCCAGTTTCGGAGCATCTGTCACAAAAAGGCTGTTGCACGGCTTATGGCTGAAGTCTCAAGGTGTACCGCGTTGGTTTGTCATCGCTCAAGCTCGAAAGCATTCAAGACTCTTTTCGCAGCACGAAACGAATACAATCCTGACTAAGACTTTCCTATGTGATTCCCGCGCAGCGTAGACAGAACATGGGAGCACCCAGGCAGCGACGCTGGGTGGACGCTTCATCAGTGCTTCGGCCAGCTTGACAACGAGACCTGGGTTTGGGATACGCCCTTAAGAGGAGCAGTCCCGTGCGATCTAAAGTTCAAGGCCTTACGAGTTGGAGGAGCGTGTGGGGTGCAGTCGTGTTTGGATTTCCGGCAAAAACTCATGTCGGAGCCGTTGAGGTCCACGCAGGCAGCTGCGCATCATCATGCTTCTGTGTGTCCTGTCGTTTGCCCTCGCAAGCCGCAGTGCATGCACAGTCGCTCGGCCTAGCTTCAGGAGTTGGACCGGGTTCAAAAGCCGAACTTGCAGGCTTTCTTCCTAACCCTCAGGCAACTTTTTTCGAATCAAGAAACCGCTCCCCACGCCTTGGACACACACAAAAATTTCGAATTCGGGTTTTAGATCGAGTGAGCTGTGTTTTTCCCTGCGATGATCTGTCTTTCGCCTTATGACCACACCGCTGGCTGCTTCTCAACTCAACGTTTGCCCGCATGCATGACTGTATACTTTCGCACCTGCTCACTGCAAATTCAATAGCAGAGCCCGCCCCTATGTGGTCGAGTCAGCAACCTAGAACTTGTTTCAAAGTCAGCATACTCCCTCGATCGTCCCGAAAGGTTGAGCTCTAGTCCCCCAGACCTGGACAAGAAGGGTCCTTTCTTCGGGATGCACATGCCTCAAGGTGCTTCGTGGAGTGCGTAGATGCGACTTTTCATGATGGTTTCTCGGGCCATGAGTCTTGCTGCCTGTATACTCTGGAATTTGCAAAGATAAGGATAAGGATCCAAAAGCGGAACCCTAGTTTGGCTCAGCCCCTGATGACCACCAGTCCTTGATCGCTGGATGCTGAGGCTATCGGCTACTGCCTGATCGCCTTCATGATGTTCGAGTTCTGCCACATATCCCAAAGCTTGAATCATTTCATCTTTTGGGCTTCTTTGTAGTTGTTAAAGCCCAGCCTAGAGAAAAAGCTATTTGTGCGGCCTTTGGCAAGCCAGGCGTGGGCTGGTACTTCCCTTGCGTCGGCATCGCCAAAAGCGAGATTGTCCGGTCCCCGCAGTGCACTTCCAACTGCTCGCTGCAACGTTACACCTAAATTCTAAACCCTAAACCCTAAACCCCTAAACCCTAAACCCTAAACCCTTCCTAAACTACTGTAAGCTATGCTTGCCTCTATTCTCTGGATCGTAAAGGGGCCTGCTCCTGCTGTCAAAGGTGTCGGCGCGAGGTTCAGGGTTTCGATGCTTAAGGTTTAGAGTTTGATTGCTCTTTTTTTCCGGCTGGAGTCCTCTAGAATACCGTATCCACTCCCGTCCCGAAGGATCATGAAATCGCTTTTTGAGTCAAAATTATAGGGGTTGGGATGTTGTATGGTTTTTGTATGGCGCTCTTTTAAAGTCGGGGTGCAGAACCTGGCGCAACCAACTGTCAGTGTCAGTGTCAACGGTTGCAACACCCTAATTATCCCTATACATACGACCATCGTCTACACGCAGGGCTTCTGAGCAAATTTATGATTGCCCTGAACCCTGAACCTAAACCCCAAACCTCAACCGAATCCCGAAACCCTAAACCCGAAATTCTTGCGTTGATCTCTGGCAATCCGAAGGGGCTATTTAGGCTTAGTATCGTTTGTGATTTCGGATGTTGATTTTTTCTATATCTGCGTGGTGTAGAAGTGATTGTCAACTCGTAGAGTAGTTCTGGGAGTGTAGCTAGACACAGAGACCTCGTCTGTCGGAGTCCGGGCTAAGAGAGCGCTAAACCCTAAGTCCTGCACCTAAACCCTTAACCCTAAACCCTAAACCGCTAAACCCAAAGCCGTAAACCCTAAGCAGAAAGCCGTAAAACCTGACTGCAACTGTTGGCTTCTGCTTTCCTCCCAGAGATCCAGCCTGCTGCCATCTCCAGATCTACAAGGGTAGTTTTCTAAATTAGGGTCCCTTTTTAGATACCCAATATAGTACGGCACCTTTATAAACAGGACCCCAACAGGGAAACTAATTTAGAGACTACCCATCACCCTCTGAGCTCCTACATCTCCCAAGGTCCCGGATCGCATTAGGGGATCGATGTACAACCTCTTCCGGGTGCCGCTGAACGTGCACGGCCGAGCTTGCAAGGTTTGTGTTTGGGGTTTAGGGTTTAGGGTTTAGTTTGTGGTTTCGGGCTGCATCTCTTGAGCCGGTAGAACTACAAAAACTCGGACAAGCCCTAAAAAAGTAGCTTAGACCCAAAGCCCCGACTCGCTTTGCAGCATTCTTCATCTGCTGACTCCTTTACGGCATCTTTCGATTGATAAGAGTTCACGCTTGGTCGGTGTATGTTTGAATCGAGCTTCAGGATGACAGGATGTACTCAAGATTGAATGAATCTCTGATAGGCTCCCTTAACCCTGTTATTCTGAGCTCCTAAATCCTAAACCCTAAGCCGCTGGCTTCACTGAGGTCCTAGTGTTGGTCCTCCTCCTCACAGACCTCAACAGCGACTCCAGATTCGCCCTTTGCTCTGTACTGCTGCTGCTGGCGAGCCTTGTGCTCCTGCCCTGTTTCAGAAAGCTTCTGCTCATGACGAAACAAACCCGATACCCGTAAACATCCTAAATCCAAACCCCGAACCCTAAATCCAAAATGACTGAGGAAACCGTTTGCAAGCCCTGTCAGAGCTTCGAAGCGCATCGAACGCGGGGTAAAGATTGAAGTATACTGCGCCAAACCGGGGCTGTTACGTCAAGTCTTTGGCGGCGGTCTGGATTTCCGTGGTTGGCAAGGAAAGTTGCGCACTCCATCCTTACTTACTAAACCCCGAACCTTGTGCCTGTGACATGGCTAGGCTTTAACACCTACACTAACCCTAAACCCTATAACCGCATAACCCTATAAACCCCAGTGTATCGAAACCCAAAGCGCAAGCCTTGGAAGCGCGCAGCTGTCCCGTCACCAAGCACCCCAAAGCCGGGAAACCCAGGTTTCCGGGTTAGGGCTTATTACCGGGCTTAGAGAAAAGAGCCCGTAAAAACAAAAAGCAACACTAAACCTTAAACTAACAAACTCCTCGAGCCGTACTTACACCACAAAAAAAAAAGGCCCCAAAGGCCCAACAACAAATCCAAAAGAAAGCAACAAAATAGTCCTGGAAGAGCCAGGCCACCTTTGGACTTGGAAACAAGCCCAAGTCCTCCGACACCCGCGAGGCCTTGCTTCGGGACTCTTGGGGTCTATACGCGTTAGGGTTAAGTAAAGGTTTAGACATATTATTTTTACTATTATTGTTGTTATTATTATTATCATCATAATTACTACTAGTGTTATTATTGCTCTATTATTATTGTTATTATTGTTATTTTTCTATACTTATTCTTATTCGTATTATTATGAATATTATTATGAATATTATTGCTATTACGACTATATTTATTTTTCAGTTGTTGTTATTAGGACTCGGGGTCTAGAGTTTCGTAGGGTTTAGGGCTCAGAGGATACAGGAGGCCCTAAGAACATTATAGTCGGAACTGTGGCGCATAATGTAGGAACCTGACTAAGAACATCTCGAGCTTGAGACACCCTAAAGGCCTGACAGGGCTGCAGGGGTTTGATTTGAAAGGAGCTTGATTTATAGTCTCCATTGTAGTTCCTTTTTTGGTTTAACCAATTCCAGATTAAGGATCCTAAAAGGTAACCCCAAAAAAGAACTGCAATTGAGCCTATAGGTAGTCCTGTTGCAGCCGTGATGATCGATCTGAATGCCTCAGGGTTGGCCTGATATTCCCCTTATGCTACCCCAGTGCTGTAAGCCCTAAGGTGTAAGCCCATTCAAAACCCCATGCCTATGTACACTTGAAAAGACCCTAGATTCTAAACAGTACCTTTCAAAATGGCGCGCGAATCGACCAGGGAACGGAATGGGGCTTGGTTTGATATAGAAGCTTGAAGAATGACTCTTCTACAAATACACTCCAACGTATTGCAAACCCTGTTCTAACTCTTCCGGCCCTATGGTAAGCATCAAGGCTTCGGGTCTTGAAATCGTTGAAAGCTAGGTTCTCAAGGTTTGTTTGACGTTGGTGCCTTTCAGAGTTCTAGGCCGGTGTCTATCGACAGCTTCAGGGGACACCCTTGTTTGTGCAAAGGGCCGTGCTTTAAACCCTAAACCCTAGGTTCAGGCTGCAGACTGCGACTGAACACCTCCAAGCGCCAAGCCTCTGAGCCACCATGCAGGAGCCAATAGAAATATTGAAAAACACCCTGGAGCATAGACCTTCACCCTAAACGGCCCTAAACCCTACAAACCTGGAGCACCTGCACGCTCTAACATGCCCGATCCCCGTTGGCCTGGCTTGTAAAGTAGAATGGGGCAGGTCTCCTGCCAGCCAGCCGTGTGAGCTCAGTGGACACTTACTTCTCCGTATTCAATATTGCATAGTATAGTATAGTCTAGCATCGTACATTGTATTATGTAAATGCTATCCAATTTTCGGCTTTCGGGTATTGTGTAGCGAAGCAGTTCGCAAGTCTACTCTTCACGGAGGTTATGGGAGAAGCAAGGAAAAGCTGCGAACACCAGCAGTGCATTCTCACGACAGGAATATTGCAGGCTCAATCAATGCTTAGAGCGTTCAACGCCCATTTTCCGATGTTTGTTCTGCTGCCGGCTGAAGCCCTACGTTGGCAAGCCGCAGCACTACAAACCATCCTCGAAGTTTGTTAAAATAGCAATAAGCGCAGATGAACTTCCCACGACGGTCCGAAGGAGTGTTCCTTCGCCGACCGGTTGATGGGAAACTAGCAGCAGGACCATGCACAGTCTCTCGATGTGCGCGAGGAAGAAGTGTTTCGCTTGGTTATTCTTCGCGCAGGCTGGGGAAAGGCACAATTCCTATGCCCAGGTACAGATGAGGTACAGGTCTTGCACCAGTTTTTTGGACTAATCGCCGCATGTCTTATACAGCTCTAAAAATGCAAGTGGCCCACGCATGCTACGGGCGGACGTGCGGTTGTTCGTCCAAGTCGAAAGTCTTTGCTGTCCAAACAGGCAGCCAAAGGAAAGACACTTTAGCAAAGACTCGCGCGCAGGTGTGGCCAGGGTTGGGCCGAAACACCTACAGTTTCGCTTGCGATATCCCTTTCGGTCATACTAGTAAGAGGAGTCGTAAAGAGCCGCAATGATATTTACAAGACTAGCAATAGCAATAGTAAAGGCGAAGGCCCAACCCTAGTCCGGCAAATTCGCACACGAAAGGCGAAGGCTTACTGCAGCCCAAAAACTCCACTATCCTCGAATCAAGCATCCTTTATGCGGTATCAGGGAGGCCTCAGCCAAAACGTTAGGAGTCCCATAGTAGATGTTCAGGAGGATTCCTCAAAAATTCTGGAGCCGCCGTCCTTGCTTTCATCGCGTTGCGAAGAGCTGGATGTTTGCCTGAAGCCTGTGGGGAGCAGCCCGTCGGCTCTACGGAGCGAAAATTGGGCGCTTTTTGGTTTTCTGGATGTTGGGGGCTTCAGGGCTTCTAAAGTGCTTATGGATTTGGGGCTAGGGTTGAAGTGGGAGCTTGCTTTGCTCTAACTTTTACGAGTCATTTTCTGAAATACTTTGTACAGCCCGATGTGCTGGGGAGCAGGCAGAAGGGGTGCCGGCCAAAGAGCTTTGGCGTCACCACCATATCAGTACCACGTGCCACGACGCAAGTGTGGTTGCATGTTCAGTTAAAAAACATCTGAAGCTACAAGTAAGTTAAGGCAGCCCTGGAGTGGGTTGGGGGGGTTTTCGTTTAACGTTTCGGGTTTAGGGAACAACATGCAGGGATCTAGGCCAGGCCAGATGCATTGGTTTATGAGTTTTGGGTGTAGGCAATGTGATGAGGCACAAGGATTAGGAGTTTGGGATTTCGCTTGTGGGGCCCCGGACAGTTTTGGAAGAGGGTGACTAAGGGAGGCGGTGTTGGCTCTTGGGTGGTTGTTGAAATCGAGCTGGTGGATGTGGAGTGGCCGCATTGCTTTTTGGGCCTTCCGCCGGCAAGAGGAAAATCGAAGCAAGCCTCTCTCGCAATATCCCTACAAACCGTCAGCCTCAACTCTAAAACCCCGAACCACGGTTTGCTTTTGGCATTCTGGCTCATTTTGCACTCGGGGCCGCGGGTAATCAGCTGGGCACCAGGACGGATGATAAGGGACTAAGACAGGGAATAGTGACTAGTGTTTTCGTTGGGGCTTAAGGGATTTGGGTTTGATTATAGTTCAGGCGAACAGACACTGAATGGTTGAGTCCTTCCTTGTACATAAGACAGGGAACCTCAGGTTTAGAAAGGAAGCAGGGCTTTGGGGTCTGGGCCCGTGGTCAGTCCGGAACACCTCCAATTCCTTCGGGCTTCAGTTGTGTAAATGGTAGGCCAACTAACCACATATCACGCACCCCAGCATTCTGTCATTTCGGTAACTAGAGCCCTGGGGATTCCGAAAGGCGTACTTGTGGAGGCGCGAGTACTAAAACCAGTACCCTGGGGATTCCGAAAGGCGGAATGTGGAGGCGCTAGTACCAGTACTCGTACTAGTATTAGTGGTAGTAATAACGGTAGTACTCGTCGTCGTAGAAGTGGTAGCAGCGGCAGCAGCAGTAGCAGTAGCAGCAGAAGTAGTAGTAGTAGTAGTAGTAGTAGTAGTGGGAGTAGCCGTGGCAGTGCAAGTGGGACTCGGAGTGGGAGTGGTAGTAGGAGCAGTCGTAGTCGTAATGGTAGTGGTATTATGTGAATGTGGTAGTACTAGTGGCAGTCCTCGTCGCCATCGTCGTAGTGGTATGTCATCGTCGTATTCACAGTCGAGAATCCCAGACCCAGTGTGCATACCGCCGAAAGGACAGTTCTTCACGACTTCAACAAGAGAAGGAAGGTGCGCCGATCTGGCGGGGATTGGGGTTCTATACGGGTGATTATAAAGCTTACCGTAAGGGTTCTTCTGTGGGGCTCTATACAGGTTACTATGCAGCTTACGATATGGGGGTCTTTAGATCATGGGTAGTGCTCAAGCTCCCGCTCCTTGAGTCGGTCCTCAACCTTGCAGTCCATGTCGAAAAAATGTGCGTCGCCTGAATTTTGTTCATACAAAAGCACAAAGCCAGTTAGTTCCTCTTACAGAACACAACCAAGGAAAGAAAGAAAGGTGGCAATGCCGTCGCGGCCTCGGGCCTGCCATCCGGTCGGGAATCTGGCAAAGCACCCGAACCTGTCGCTTTAGGGAGCATAACGCTAGATGCCCAGGACATTTTGCACGGATGAGGAAGATTCATATATCCGTCTGAGGCGCACCGGACTCACGGGACAAATCCAGTCAAAAGTAACCGCTGCGCTCGCTGCTCAGACGTTTGTTTGTTCCGCGCTTGGGTTGTGGTCTTTTCAGAAAGCATTGCGAGAGATTTTCCATGGGGGTGGTTTGGATGTCACTTGGTGACGATGTTGTGCTGACCGCACACTGTGCCGACGTCGATGTGAAGTTGTCTCAGGTTGGCGTGAGGACTGAAAAGCTTCTCGGTGCACACAACGTGTCCGCGTCGTCCGATGGCGCTGTGAGTGTGGTGGTGCGTGTTGTGTGGTTGCGCCATGTTGATTTCGGCCTCAAAATGCCTGAATACTGCCTGTACTTCGGAGAGGCGTTTCCGCGTTTCCGAATCCTGCCAGTATTTGAGGGAAGCATGCGTTTTCCTGTCGACCTGCTTGTCTGCAATGTGGCATTTAGTTCTTTCTCTCTCTTTCTGTGCCTTTTCTTCTTTATTGCTTTACTTCTTATGTTGTTCCTTTCTGACTGTCTATGTCTGTCGTTCTTTTTTTCCTTGTGTCGGCCGGGAGGGGTGGGTGGGTGGGTGGGAGGGGGGGTGGGGTGGGTGGGTGCGGGGGGTGTTGTAAAGCCCGCTCTCTTGGCGACCAGCCGCATTTTGGCTTTTAGTACAACATGCTTTAGGTTGTGGAGTTTCAGGGTCCGGGTTCAGGGTTAAGACAGTGATGCATGATGATGATGCCGGTGATGATGATGACGAACGACGTCATCGGGCCCCCATGCCCCCAGCTCCCACCCCATCCCCTCAAAAACACCACCCCCTTGCCCCTTCCCCCTGAAATCATGCACCAAAAATCTTAAAACCCCAAAACCTTCCGACTCTATCGCCCCGGAAGCCCGATCCCAGATGCCATGCGGCCAATGCCTGGGGCTTGGAGCAGATGGGGTTTGAAGGTTCGGGGTTTAGACTTAGACTGCCAATCTCGCGATTTAGGGGTTTTGGGAGGCTGTACGTACGTGTGCATGTAAGGTTTCGATGCCTACAACATCAGGGCTTGAGGGTTCCATGCGTGTTACTATTGCCGGTGACTAGTCGCCGCTAGTGTGAGTGTTGCTGTTAGTGTTGTCATATCTTTGATAGTGTTTATGCTGGCTGTACACGTTCTTCCGAGTAGTCAGTATCATCACTGTATAGTATAGTACATTCTAGTATAGTATAGTATAATGTAGAACAGTATAGTATAGTATAGTCTAGTCTAGCATGCCTCAGAGGCTTCTGGTTTTGGCTGCGATAAATGTGGCATCAGAGTTTAGGGCCTCGGATGCAGCGACGTGCAAGCAAATTGTACCTCCCAGAGTCATTCGCTTTGAATGGCTTGACATGGCCGGGTCATCTCCTGACATCAATCGCTTAGCTTGCCATGCGAATCTGTTTCTTGCATGACGTTCGAGCTTGGTGACCAAACGCCTGTCGGGCTCCGGTAAGCTTAGCAGCCTTGGCGTTGCGATGCAATACTGAGTGTAGGTGCCAGCGTCGCACACCCCAAAGGCCAGGCCAACCGCGAGCTGCCTGTGGGGTTCTTGTTTGGGCATTTGCCTGCAAATGCAAGTTAGGAGACGTTGGCGGGCGGTAAGATGTTGCGGGCCCACATTTCCCCAACTGCGTAGTTCACACAATGGCAAGCTTGTGTGGATATTGCTAGGCCGAGAAAGCGCGGCAGAAGTTTGAAAAGAAGGCACGAAAGCGGCACTGCTGTGAGGGACGGGCAGACATGCAATCCCGAATTGAGGTGTTGCATGTTGCATCATACATTGTATTAAAGCCGGTGAAGGTATTGCGCATGCGACTCGGACTGATGTCGAGACTGCCCTCATCGCAGCTGTTCTCCTTCTGTGCTTTTCCGCTGGCCTGCTCGCTGCACTTCTGGGCCTGTCCTGCTCACATTTCTGCTTTTCTGCTCCCGAGTTTCTCCGCGATTCTGGTCTCCTCCCGCTCAACGGAAGTGCGGAGACTTTGACAGGCACCCCGTGGAAACCTCACCACCAGCAGCAAGAAAGCCACTATGTACTCTTGACGAACCCCCTACTGATCGGCCAACATGCCTTCCCCCAAGTGCTG